CAGCCACCAGCAATCCATTGCTTGCACTGAGCCTCACACTAGCAGAGACGATCATTGAAGCAACTTTAAACTCACCCTGCGATTGTAAGGCCGGAGGCCAGGGCCCTCTTGTCCGGGAACCAGCCCATGAGCGTCTGGATGGGCGGCGTGTAGGCAAGCCCGAGACCAGTACCCGCTAGAACACCGTAACCCCCGTACAGCAGGGGTAGGCTTTTCGGTGACGAGGCGGGACGGTGGGTGCGAGGAGACGAGAGCGGGGTGTAAGGACAATCCGAGATTCACATGACCTTGCAAGGCCTACGCCGTGATGATGGTACGACTAAACTACCGTACATGACACAAGATAACACACCCGCTAGACCGATTTTCAAAGCTCGATTACTCCACGACGAAGAGGATGCATACACGAAACGATACATTTTCGAAAAGATCTCGAGGAGACGGTTTCAACGCCGCCGTTTTCGGCGCTGTGACTGTTCCTGTAGTTCAGAAATCGAACTTCGAAAATTGGTCGAGGGGGTGTGTTATCTTGTGTCATATACGGCAGTCGTGGAAGACACTTGTACACACGAGTCATGAGCATGCACACGAGTCATGAGCATGGTGATGGGTGACAACGAGAGCCACCACTGCCCGGCCTTTCGGCCGAAGGTGACATGACAGAAGGTAACGCACACCCCTGGACCGATTTTCCAAAGCCGACTACGAAGAGCAAGTAGAACTCACACCACACAAAAAAATCGACGGGACAGTTCAAACGCCGCCATTTTCAGCACCACAACTCTTTCTGCTCTAGTAGTAATCGAATTCGAGGAAGTATTATGTCTTGTGTAACCTGCGGCACGAATATTACTGCACGCCTTCCCGTGAGGCGTGAAAGTCGGCAACTAACCTGTGGTACTCGACTCCCAGTCCCCCGATCATGACCCCTCCGCCGAAGAACAACGATGCCGCCGACATGCTCATTCGCGGACCGACCTTTAGGAAAACGTCAGCAGCAACAGCAGCAGGGGGTGGATACTGAGATGGTGTCTTGGCATGTACGTTCCGGAATCCTCCACATAACGTGCAGAACCAAGTCTCAACGGCCAGTCGCCTTGCAGCTGAGAGCCCAAGCTCACTGCTGTGTGCTGTGCGGGACTGTACGGGACTGTCAAGAAACGCGCCACGAACGTGGCGAAAGCCACGGGCACACACAAATACGCAGACAAGCAAGAACACCGTACGTTGCATAAGATGTCACACCCTCTGGACCGATTTTCGAAGCTCGATTTCTCGGCAGAATATCAGTGACGGTGCCGAAAATGGCGGCATCGTAACCGTGTCGTCGGGAGCTTTCCGAAACATAAACTTTGGTTTCGGCATCCCCTTCGTCGAGGAGTAATCAAGCTTTGAAAATCGGTCGAGGAGGTGTGATATCTTATGCAGCCTGCGGTAGGTGAGCTTTACGAGGTCGTCCTGACTCCCTACAAAAGCTAGCTCTAGGTAACCAAGGCAGAGAGTACAACTAGGAAATCTTACTTTGTGAGCCCACGAGCCGCCGAGAGCTGCGGCGAGCCCTAGCGTAGCGAAGACGATGCTCATCGGCATGGTGGCTTCGGCCATCGACCTATAGAAGAGAAAAACGTAGGGGCCTGCCGTCATCGTTCTAAGCCAATCAACGCGTCGGGAAAAATAACAAAAGACACCGGGTGGTCGCTCCTCACTCGCATGGTGCTGAAAGCGTAATCGAGGGTGGGATGTTCCAACTGGTGGGACGCTCTACTCTCCAAGTGTTGAGTATAACGCCGTTAGGCGGCACGAGGTGCTGGCTCTTCCAAACCTTTCCGAAGGCCAACACCATGATTGAACAACAACCCGCTCAATACAGTACACAAGCCAAATATTCGGAGGGACGCTTCACGACTGTCTCGTTGCTTGTCCGGTGGAAACCGCTTCCCAATACCCGCGGAAGGAATGCATGTGCCGGTGCCCCGTATGGTGCCAGTGTATCACGTTGTACGAGGGGAGTCAAGAGTGTCCCGGAAAAGTGTCCAGCACCCGGTTTTTCTGCCACTCACTGGTGTGAAGACTTCAACATCCTTTTCGACTCTGTCGTTCTGTGATTGATGTTCCGCGTGAGTGGGAGGTAATGTATGTGGTGTTAACAAAGTAACGTCACGGAAACATATTTTGTGGGGGTGTTATCTCCTGTTGCGCTATTTCTTTGCCTCGGAGTGTGGTCTCATGTCGAGCCGAAAAGTAATGTAACTAGATGTCGTATCGGGGGGAAAACTGCTGTTGCGGGGGTGTTGTCTTGCGTGGTACACACTATGCATGCCATCACACTACTGCCTACCCGGTGTTTTTGTTTGTTTAATCTCATGGAGAGCATAGCACATGAACGAGTTGTGTCAGGCCTCGTTGCATGTCACATTATTTGTGAATTGACAGAAAAAACGCGCTCCGATGGCAGCTCATGGCACTTCGACGTACCCTCCAACATCTGCACCGCTCCATCTAACGCGCGCGCGCGTGTGTTTTTGGTGGCGCCAGTCCTGACCTTTCGGGCTTATGCTCCACGCACCAGCCGCGCGGTTACAGATGAGGATTGACGCAAACCCGAGTGTTGACTAAAAAAAAAACAGTCTGTGTCAGCGGCGTGTCAGCGGTGTTGGTATACTATAACAGTGTGTAGGAGGCACGAAATTGTCCCCCTGAAATCGCGCACGTCTGTCTCGACATGCGGCATCTTGTACCTGACATGACTGTTGTGGTTATCAGAGCTTCCCTGGCAAGTTTGGATTCGTTGTGTCATATTCAGGAAATATAAAAAAAATGCAAATGAGCACGGCGAGGAGTGCAACTGCGCGCACAGGAAATCGTGGAAATACAGGAACCTTCGCTAGGATTCATTGTTAACCTAGCTCAGCCTCTTTTCGATGGATGGAGATGGATTTGTCGTTTCGTAGAAAGAAAAAACAAGACAAGGCATGGATTCGTTGTGTCATCTTGCCAAATTAACAAAAAAAAGGGCATGTCTACCATGTCCGAATGATCGGCTGTGGGCTATTCGCGAACAGAACAGCAACATCAACTGGCCGTTCGGAGAAGTGCATGCAGTAGCCAAAGGCCGGTTGTTGTCGGGCGGACAAAAAGGCACAAAAGTTCTGCTGCCGCAACAAGCCGCCGGCCCTTTCGTGGGCTGTAGCGCAGAACAGCTGGGCGAGAGCATTCTTGTAGATGACGGGTGGTTACCTGCTTACCCTGCGCTCCTATGTACATGTCCAGGTGTTGACGTTGCATAATGGCAACATTCTCTCTTTTTGGTCGCCCGCCCGACTCTTATGTGGGCACACGCACATGGCAGCCTGCCAATTCAATTTCCTTACAAGCGGCTGTAGAGGACCAAACAGGATCAGCAGCAGTCGTCGCATTAATGTTCTTTTGCGCTGGTGTGCCTGCTGCTGTGTGCGCTCAACCATGCCTTACTCTTGCCGTAGAGCATGACACACCCGAATGCCGTGCTCCAGCAGCAATGTACAACAACAAGCAGATGCGCCCATCGAAGAACCAGACAACGCCAGACACACAAGACACAAACGCAGTAGGCACGGACGGCACGCGCTCACCAATCACCGGCCGCGCTTGATACGATCCCCAGCTCGCGGCTGATGGTTCCAGACATGACCGACCACGCCCAGGGGGAGCCGATACACATATGCGTCAAGAACGCCGGAGCGACCATCGCCCAGCGATTTGTGAAGCTCGGCGAAGCCTGCAGAGCAAGCGTCGAGAGACAAAGCACCGAGGCGCGGCAGCGGCGGCGGCGGCGGCCTCCGTGTGTTGCATAGCTGGTTCTGCAATGCTCTGGTGTTGTGTTGCTCAAAAAGCAGAAAAAGACCCACTGCTGTGTCCCAATCCGTCCGATCACCATCATGACCCCATCACACTTTCCTCCATCACGTCAAGTGCGAAGTAAGTGCACTTTCACTGCACGCCAAGGGCTAGACAGAAGAAGAAGCAAAGGTTGGAGCGACCGACAACAGCTTACCACGCAGCTCTCCTTGCTCATCAGCTTGCTCAGGAATCCCTTCGCCTCTGGCTCGTCCTTCTTGTCCTCCGTCGACCCTGGCGTCGCTGCCGACATCCATCGCGCCTGGCCAGCAGCAGAGGAGTCGAAAGCAGCTCCCTGAGACCTCGGGTGAGGCCGAGCGCCGACCCCTGCGCGTGCGTCAGCAGCAGCAGGGAGGACGGCCCTCGGACATCGTGCCCTAGACCCTTTAACAGCACAACTGCGTAACAAGGCAGAGCTTCTTTGCACGCCGCGAAGCATGCTCGCAGCAGTCTCGCTTGCTTGCTGGAGATGATATGTCCGGTCGAGGTCCTGGGAAAAAGCGGCAGAGGAAGTTGCACGCGATCGGGCACTTGGAGGTATACGCGGTTGGTGAAAAAAAGGTACACACGAGTCTACATGTCTGCTTCCCAGTAGCAGTACCTCCGAAGCATACTACTAATAACTTCTGACACAGAGGGTCGTGCAAGTGCAGTGTCCCCGTCACATCCCTTTATTTGACTACAGTACTTCTCTTTCCCTCTCGTTCTTCCCTTCCCAGAAATTGCTGCAAGGTGTCGGTGGTACGGACTCGTCCTTCCCGCTATGCCGTTTCGAACTCTACTTGTAATCGTGGTTACATCATATTTTCGCCATTCGTCCGAGCATTTTTTAACTCCCTGTTTTTCGAGTGCCCACGCTGTGTAATCACTCATAAAATGCAAGACGAAGAGGGAGGAGTAACAACATTTACGTAGACTAGACTGCAACAGCCAGCCACGTTATCGCAAAGTGCGAGCCATCGCACACACACCCTAGACCGCCTTTCATGGCAGCTTGGTTGCTAGCTCCGTGACCAAACAGGCAGGCCGCTGTGGAAAAAAGTTGTATGCAAAGTAAACCAGAGACAGAGAGCAATCCTTTCACTTAAGTCGGTTTTCGCACCCTCTTGGGTGTGGAGCAATCCAGCTATGAAAGACGTTCTACACTGTAAAGGGTGTGCGATTACCCGAAAATTCGGCAACTAGGCGAGAAAGCAGCCGACCCTCCGCTCGTCGTCCCCCCCCGTTCAGAGTTAGTTCTAAAGGAGGCTTGGGAGGGAAATCGAATTAGACTACTTGCTGCTATTTAAAAATAGGAGATGAAAGTGTTGTCTACATACGTCTAGGCCAACGGTGGATTCGGCGGAGAGATACATTTGATTGTGGAGTTTTTTGTTCGACAGAAAGAAATCCACAAGCATATAAATATCAAGCTCGCTCAGCAGACCGGCTTTCTCATGAAAAAAAGTCGGCGGCAAGGTTTAAACGCGTACGAAAAGAAAAGGGTCCCAAGGCCAAGTTTAACGAATGAGGAGGCGTCACGATAGAAGCAATGCTGCACACAACATCCACAAAAGTACGCCGTTCGTTCAAAATTCCCATGCAATATCGACGATCTAATTCCAACCAACTAGACATTTCAGGCTGCGCTTATGCACGCCCCGCTACTGCGGTGCAAACAATCCCTGGCCACAACAAAGAACGTGGGCAAAATACGATATCGGTACACTTGGTGGTGAACGCTTCTGGCACTCCAGCCTCCCACACTAACTCATGGAGGTGAACAAAATCCACCGATCCATCTATAGTCAGTCATGAAGGCCTACATACATACGCGGTAGCACCGTGAATCCCCCAAAAGCGGGCGTCTTTCTACGTAGTCGCTGAAGGCACACACACAAGGCCAAGATACAACCTCCGCCAACGTCTGGACTTTCTCGAAGTTTCACAAGATAAATTATTCCAACCCGGGCGAGGGCGGGATAGGCATAAAAGCAACACGGACGCATGAATCAACCGGCAACCGTTATCCGCAAGACCTGGGGGGTCATCCCGCTGCTGGGTATGGATGCCACCTTGCTGGAGTGACAACTCCGGGACACTCGCCGACATCAAAACTGTTCCGACGAAGGGAGACAAGCTCGAAGCCTTCTACTAGCACAGGGGCGCTCTCACGCACGCCTTGCACCCGATCGACTGAAGGGAGTTGGCCTGAACGCCTTCCAGCCCCGGGTACGCGCACGCACGTCTTGGGCCAGATTGCCGCTCGGACTGCTGCTGCAAGCCTTCACAATGATCGGTGCACCAGGCCCACAGAAAGAAAGCCTATGCTCCCGCCGTTTGCCGTGACATCCGTAATACAATGGGCGAAACAAAAAGCTCCCCCCCGCTGACGCGCGCTTTTTAAAGAGTCAGGTTGCGCGAAGTGGTGGCGAGGCGGCTCTGCTTGCCACCGAGATAGAAGGCAGGTTTCGTGGAGGAAGAGGCGGAAGGTCGTACTACTAGATGTCTCCCGCCCACGGCGTTGAACCCCTTGTTGATGAGCCTATAAAAACCCAAAGTGGGTGGAGCAAAGGGAAGAGCACGGGAAGCGATGCAGTACCACTTAGTGCGCGCACCCTGCTCTGCGAATGTCTACGTGGAGGCTCGCTCTGTCGAACGCGTAACACCAGCACCTACACAGGGTAACCACCGCCGCACCATGCCCACGCCACGCCCAGAGTTAGCGGTGAGCGCAACAGCCCACGACAGCAAAGTAGCTTGCGATCGACCAAACTCGTCGAAGTGTCATGCTCCCGAGCGGGTGGAGAATCGAGACAGTACCAGTGCACGCACTACGAGAATAGCTTGCGATGAGATACGCCCGAGGCACGGTGACAGATTCCTAACAGCAACAACCTGGATGGGTAGCGGCATGATATCGATATATCTCACTTTCCGGGCTTTCGGTTCGGCTGTGCTCCTGCCCCGCCTCTTGCCACCGCCGACGTGAAAAAAGTGCGTGAAGGTGGACCTGGCTTTATCAGCATGGCCACACCTAACGCGCCGCCGCCGCCGCTGCCGTGGCCGCGCGAGGCCGCCCGCCTCTCCGCTGTCTTTTTGAGGTCTCCCTGCGAGCCTGGCTCCGCCTCCTCGCCCTCGTCTTCGCTGCTGTCGCCCTCGCCTTCCGATTCTGACCCGAGCGACACGAGTTCGTCCTCCTCCTCCTTGTCGGCCCGCTCGACCCATTTTCTCTTGGCTGTGCGGCGTGGGGCGGAGAGTGGCGCGGAAGGAAGAAGACATCGAAAAAATAAAAAACGGAAGGTGTGAGAGAGCCCCGTGCGTGCGTGCGTGCAACGGAGGGGGATGAAAACGGAGATTCTTAGGTCGTTTCAATATCTACTGCCTGTTCATCTCACACCAGCAAAAGAAGCCCCGACCTGTGCCCAGTATGCCCGCTCTCCTGCTCTCCAAAGGTGATGAACATAGCCACACGTTGCAGAAGACAACAATACACCCGGAGATTTGTTCTAGCCAGAATCGCAGGTCAAAAGAGTCTTGGAGTCTCGGACGCCGCCACTCCCCCCCCCCCCCCCCCCCCCCCCCCCCCCCCC